TAGGATAATGATATTTGGCCAGTAACATGCTAGGATGAAGGGCTACCAAGTTTGTTCAAATGAATTACTTTTATATATATTCAAGGTCATAGGGGTCAAATATGTTAAAAACCTTTAAACAACTTCTTCTCGATAACCGAAAACCCTAGGATGATGCTATTTGGCCAGTAGCATGCTGTGATGAAGGGCTTCCAAGTTTGTTCAAATGAATGACCTTGACCAACTTTGAAGGTAACAGGGGTCAAATGTCTTAAAATCTTCAAACAACTTCTCTTCTCAATAACCAAAAGGCCCAGGGTACTGATATTGGGCCTGTAGCATGCTGTGATGAAGGGCTTCCAAGTTTGTTGAAATGAATGACCTTCATCCATTTTCAAGGTCACAGAGGTCAATTGTCTTAAAAAGTCTTTAAACAACCTCTTCTGAATAACTAAGAGACCTACGATAATGATATTTGGCCAGTAACATGCTAGGATGAAGGGCTACTAAGTTTGTTCAAATGAATGACTTTTATGTATATTCAAGGTCACAGGGGTCAAATATGTTAAAAATCTTTAAACAACTTCTTCTCAATAACCGAAAACTCTAGGATGATGCTATTTGGCCAGTTGCATGCTGTGATGAAGGGCTACCAAGTTTGTTCAAATGAATGACCTTGACCAGCTTTGAAGGTCACATCGGTCAAATGTCTTAAAATCTTCAAACCACTTCTTCTTAATAACCAATAACACAATCAATGGTAATGCTAATTTTGTTAGGAATAGCTGGTCAATGATATCTTTTCCTTTTACCAAGAATCAACTTAATGTTTAAAGCAGAAATATACCAAAAAATAATTAACAAGTTTCCAAAAGTTGAAGCAAATATAAGTATTAGTATTGAACAGCATTCTGTTCAGTCTAATAGTTTACATTACAGTGTAAACAGCTCATGCCCGTAATGATTATCTTTTAGTCTCATATGACAATAACTTATAAAAATAATAAGAAGAGAATGAATATAATTTTATTATACAGCTGCAGTTTAAGTTGTAAAGGCTACAAATATGCATTTGTTTAATATCCCTTATATTTCTAATACCAAAACAAGGGATTGCTTCAGTTTTGACAAATAGTTCAAGTATTACACTACAGTGACAGCTACTTAACATATGATTGTGTACTTAAAGTCATGTGAAACACATAGTTCAAGTAAAGGGGAATCTATTGTGTCGAATAAATATTGTAGATTCTGTGATGGATAACATTAGACTGCTTAATATTTAGCTGTTTAGTATCAATGTCTGTATAAAATTAACATACTTATCATACCTGCAAAGAAACTATTTTGCCCTGAAGCTCTGTAACATGTACACTTGACAGTACTTCCTGGCTGGATCCACACATTTACATACTGATCAAGTCGTACATCTACAAAATTGTTCGNATGGGTTGACAGGTATGGTAATGATACAGGTGATCTAGGTGGACAACANTATCACCAACCCATCCAGCGGTATTGATAAAGGTCTATTTTAAACATCATCTTGTATCAAATAAAGCATTTTAGGTAAGATGAGGCATCTTNGGTACATGTGATCTAGGTGGACAATGGGTTGACAGGTATGGTAACGATACATGTGATCTAGATGGACAATGGGTTGACAGGTATGGTAACGGTACATGTGATCTAGGTGGAAAACATGTATATCCTTTCTTTGCTTCACAGATCGGGTCGGAGGAAGAACACTCACAGTTGAACTTGACAATGGTAATGGTACAGATACATGGGATCTAGGAGGACAATGGGTTGGCAGGTATGATAATGATACATGGGATCTAGGTGGAAAATGGGTTGGCAGGTACGATAATGATACATGTGATCTAGGTGGACAATGGGTTGACAGGTATGGTAATGAAACATGTGATCGAGATGGACAATGGGTTGACAGGTATGGTAATGATACAGGTGATATAGGTGGACAATGGGTTGACAGGTATGGTAATGATACATGTGATCGAGATGGACAATGGGTTGACAGGTATGGTAATGATACATGTGATCTAGGTGGAAAATGGGTTGGCAGGTACGATAATGATACATGTGATCTAGGTGGACAATGGGTTGACAGGTATGGTAATGATACATGTGATCTAGGTGGAAAATGGGTTGACAGGTATGGTAATAATACACAGATCTATGTGGACAATGGGTTGACAGGTATGGTAATGATACATGTGATCTAGGTGGAAAATGGGTTGACAGGTATGGTAATAATACACAGATCTATGTGGACAATGGGTTGACAGGTATGGTAATGATACGTGTGATCGAGATGGACAATGGGTTGACAGGTATGGTAATGATACATGTGATCTAGGTGGAAAATGGGTTGACAGGTATGGTAATAATCCTCAGATCTAGGTGGACAATGGGTTGACAGGTATGGTTATGATACATGTGATCTAGGTGGAAAATGGGTTGACAGGTATGGTAATAATCCTCAGATCTAGGTGGACAATGGGTTGACAGGTATGGTAATGGAACATGTGAACTAGGTGGACAATGGGTTGACAGGTATGGTAATGGAACATGTGAACTAGGTGGACAATGGGTTGACAGGTATGGTAATGATACGTGTGATCTAGATGGAAAATGGGTTGGCAGGTACGATAATGATACATGGGATCTAGGTGGACAATGGGTTGACAGGTATGGTTATGATACATGTGATCTAGGTGGAAAATGGGTTGACAGGTATGGTAATAATACACAGATCTAGGGGGACAATGGGTTGACAGGTATGGTAATGATACAGGTGATATAGGTGGACAATGGGTTGACAGGTATGGTAATGATACGTGTGATCTAGATGGAAAATGGGTTGGCAGGTACGATAATGATACATGTGATCTAGGTGGACCATGGGTTGACAGGTATGGTTATGATACATGTGATCTAGGTGGAAAATGGGTTGACAGGTATGGTAATAATACACAGATCTAGGTGGACAATGGGTTGACAGGTATGGTAATGATACATGTGATACAGGTGGACAATGGGTTGACAGGTATATTAATGATACAGGTGATCTAGGTGGACAATGGGTTGACAGGTATGGTAATGGTACATGTGATCTAGGTGGACAATGGGTTGACAGGTATGGTAATGGTACATGTGATCTAGGTGGACAATGGGTTGACAGGTATGGTAATGGTACATGTGATCTAGGTGGACAATGGGTTGACAGGTATGGTAATGGTACATGTGATCTAGGTGGACAATGGGTTGACAGGTATGGTAATGGTACATGTGATCTAGGTGGACAATGGGTTGACAGGTATGGTAATGGTACATGTGATCTAGGTGGACAATGGGTTGACAGGTATGGTAATGGTACATGTGATCTAGGTGGACAATGGGTTGACAGGTATGGTAATGGTACATGTGATCTAGGTGGACAATGGGTTGACAGGTATGGTAATGGTACATGTGATCTAGGTGGACAATGGGTTGACAGGTATGGTAATGGTACATGTGATCTAGGTGGACAATGGGTTGACAGGTATGGTAATGGTACATGTGATCTAGGTGGACAATGGGTTGACAGGTATGGTAATGGTACATGTGATCTAGGTGGACAATGGGTTGACAGGTATGGTAATGGTACATGTGATCTAGGTGGACAATGGGTTGACAGGTATGGTAATGGTACATGTGATCTAGGTGGACAATGGGTTGACAGGTATGGTAATGGTACATGTGATCTAGGTGGACAATGGGTTGACAGGTATGGTAATGGTACATGTGATCTAGGTGGACAATGGGTTGACAGGTATGGTAATGGTACATGTGATCTAGGTGGACAATGGGTTGACAGGTATGGTAATGGTACATGTGATCTAGGTGGACAATGGGTTGACAGGTATGGTAATGGTACATGTGATCTAGGTGGACAATGGGTTGACAGGTATGGTAATGGTACATGTGATCTAGGTGGACAATGGGTTGACAGGTATGGTAATGGTACATGTGATCTAGGTGGACAATGGGTTGACAGGTATGGTAATGGTACATGTGATCTAGGTGGACAATGGGTTGACAGGTATGGTAATGGTACATGTGATCTAGGTGGACAATGGGTTGACAGGTATGGTAATGGTACATGTGATCTAGATGGACAATGGGTTGACAGGTATAGTAATGGTACATGTGATCTAGATGGACAATGGGTTGACAGGTATGGTAATGGTACATATGATCTAGGTGGACAATTGGTTGACAAGTATGGTAATGGTACATGTGATCTAGGTGGACAATGGGTTGACAGGTATGGTAATGGTACATGTGATCTAGGTGGACAATGGGTTGACAGGTATGGTAATGGTACATGTGATCTAGGTGGACAATGGGTTGACAGGTATGGTAATGATACATGTGATCTAGGTGGACAATGGGTTGACAGGTATGGTAATGGTACATGTGATCTAGGTGGACAATTGGTTGACAGACATTGACTTGTACATACCATCATTTCCATTTTTATTTTTATAAACCTTATATAAGATCATATCTGTGAGCTATGAAGTAATGAATATAAGAGCATTTCTTGAGAATGAGCGTGAGACTGGTGGTATAAGATAGACGATTTGCCACTGTTGCTAACCTCATCTCATCTAATACACCAATAATACAATTGTACAGATACAAACACAGATGAGGCTGGTGCCTGTGCTTTTTCTGGATATTCCATTTAAAGTCATATGGTTCTTCATGGTTGATGTTGCCATTCTGATTTACAGTTTCTGTTTCTAAACTTCACTACTTCTTACCTCTCAAAGAGTACATTGGTTTTGTTAAAATACATTTTTTGGTTGGTCATTGAATCAATTGTCAAGGTAATTCAAGATCAAATCCCTAACATAACAATTGGATAAGATGTGCACACCTATATGTATAAAGATTTTTAATGGATTAAACATTTCTTAAAAAGATTCAAAATGAAAATAATACTGACACTTAAATTTATTTCATATTTATAAGATTCTGGGTTTCTTTAATAGCAGGCACTGATATTACTTTGAACAAATAAACCAATATTGAATAATTACAGACTTATTATGTACCTTCACAGAAATCTGTTTGTGGTACTTTTGGTGTAGGTGTCAACCCCACATAACCAAGCTGTTGGCTGAGTTAGGCCTGGACACCTACCCACAGTACATACAAGGAAGGAAGTTCATGCAGTTAGGAGGAGATGTTGTGACCAGCTACACCTCTGACATACCATCCCTGTCAGGCCTGGCTCTCATTGATCTACAACGTACGATAAATCGGGTGAGAATATGCTTTTTATGTACAGTCAAGCCTGTTTCATCCTGCCAAGGTACTGGATTATCTACTGAAAACAAAGGTTTCTGGATTATCTACTGAAAACAAAGGTTTCTGGATTATCTAGTGGAAACAAAGGTAGCTGGATTATCTAGTGAAAACAAAGGTAGCTGGATTATCTAGTGGAAACAAAGTTAGCTGGATTATCTAGTGGAAACAAAGGTAGCTGGATTATCTAGAGAAAACAAAGGTAGCTGGATTATCTAGTGAAAACAAAGGTAGCTGGATTATCTAGTGGAAACAAAGTTAGCTGGATTATCTAGTGAAAACAAAGTTAGCTGGATTATCTAGTGAAAACAAAAGTAGCTGGATTATCTAGAGAAAACAAAGGTAGCTGGATTATCTAGAGAAAACAAAGGTAGCTGGAGTATCTAGAGAAAACAAAGGTAGCTGGATTATCTAGAGAAAACAAAGGTTTCTGGATTATCTAGAGAAAACAAAGTTAGCTGGATTATCTAGTGAAAACAAAGGTAGCTGGAGTATCTAGAGAAAACAAAGGTAGCTGGAGTATCTAGAGAAAACAAAGGTAGCTGGATTATCTAGAGAAAACAAAGGTTTCTGGATTATCTAGAGAAAACAAAGTTAGCTGGATTATCTAGTGAAAACAAAGGTAGCTGGAGTATCTAGAGAAAACAAAGGTAGCTGGAGTATCTAGAGAAAACAAAGGTAGCTGGATTATCTAGAGAAAACAAAGGTTTCTGGATTATCTAGAGAAAACAAAGTTAGCTGGATTATCTAGTGAAAACAAAGGTAGCTGGAGTATCTAGAGAAAACAAAGGTAGCTGGAGTATCTAGAGAAAACAAAGGTAGCTGGATTATCTAGAGAAAACAAAGGTTTCTGGATTATCTAGAGAAAACAAAGTTAGCTGGATTATCTAGTGAAAACAAAGGTAGCTGGAGTATCTAGAGAAAACAAAGGTAGCTGGAGTATCTAGAGAAAACAAAGGTAGCTGGATTATCTAGAGAAAACAAAGGTTTCTGGATTATCTAGAGAAAACAAAGTTAGCTGGATTATCTAGTGAAAACAAAGGTAGCTGGAGTATCTAGAGAAAACAAAGGTAGCTGGAGTATCTAGAGAAAACAAAGGTAGCTGGATTATCTAGAGAAAACAAAGGTTTCTGGATTATCTAGAGAAAACAAAGTTAGCTGGATTATCTAGTGAAAACAAAGGTAGCTGGAGTATCTAGAGAAAACAAAGGTAGCTGGAGTATCTAGAGAAAACAAAGGTAGCTGGATTATCTAGAGAAAACAAAGGTTTCTGGATTATCTAGAGAAAACAAAGTTAGCTGGATTATCTAGTGAAAACAAAGGTAGCTGGAGTATCTAGAGAAAACAAAGGTAGCTGGAGTATCTAGAGAAAACAAAGGTAGCTGGATTATCTAGAGAAAACAAAGGTTTCTGGATTATCTAGAGAAAACAAAGTTAGCTGGATTATCTAGAGAAAACAAAGGTAGCTGGAGTATCTAGAGAAAACAAAGGTAGCTGGATTATCTAGAGAAAACAAAGGTTTCTGGATTATCTAGAGAAAACAAAGTTAGCTGGATTATCTAGTGAAAACAAAGGTAGCTGGAGTATCTAGTGAAAACAAAGGTAGCTGGATTATCTACTGAAAACAAAGGTTTCTGGATTATCTAGAGAAAACAAAGGTTTCTGGATTATCCACTGCAAACAAAGGTAGCTGGGTTATCTACTGAAAACAAAGGTTTCTGGATTATCTAGAGAAAACAAAGGTTTCTGGATTATCTACTGCAAACAAAAGTAGCTGGATTATCTACACTGAGAACAGGAAAAGCTGGATTATCTTCTTAGAACAGAGGTAGCTGGATTATCTACTTAAAACAAACGTAGCTGGATTATCTACTGATATTTAAGATTGCTTGATTAAGGAGGCTTCACAATAGCTAAGGCCTTAGGAAATAAGTTTTTCTGTACACAGCTTAGTGTAGAAATTTGATAGTATCTATTTGTGTCCAAGGTAGAGAGGCTGAGTAAGATGGTGGATGCCAGAGACCCATACAATTGTCAATGTTCTAAGTTTGACGCCGAGTTGGATGGTATGTCACTGGACAGCTTTATGAGGAAGCACATGTGGACGAAGAGTGAGTACTTCTGTCATGTATAATTTACTGAGCTGTTATACACTAAAAACTCGAGAACGTGTTTGATATGTTGGCTGGGTAATGACACTATGACAGACCACGAGTAGTGTGAGTAATGATCACAGACTATTTTTGATACGTAACATTGGGTATTAACATGATCACAGACTTATTTTGATACGTAACACTGGGCATTAACATGATCACAGACTTATTTTGATACGTAACATTGGGTAATAATATGATCACAGACTTATTTTGATATGTAACATTTGGTAATAACATGATCACAGACTTATTTTGATACGTAACATTGGGTAATAACATGATCACAGATGTATTTTGATACGTAACATTGGGTAATAACATGATCACAGACTTATTTTGATATGTAACACTGGGTATTAACATGATCACAGACTTATTTTGATACGTACCATTGGGAATTAACATGATCACAGACTTATTTTGATATGTAACATTGAGTATTAACATGATCACAGACTTATTTTGATACGTACCATTGGGTATTAACATGATCACAGACTTATTTTGATATGTAACATTGGGTAATAACATGATCACAGACTTATTTTGATACGTAACACTGGGCATTAACATGATCACAGACTTATTTTGATATGTAACACTGGGTAATAACATGATCACAGACTTATTTTGATACGTAACATTTGGTATTAACATGATCACAGATTTACTTTGATATGTAACATTGGGTATTAAAATGATCACAGACTTATTTTGATAAGTAACACTGGGCATTAACATGATCGCAGACTTATTTTGATATGTAACATGATCACAGACTTATTTTAATATGTAACATTGGGTATTAACATGATCACAGACTTATTTTGATACATACCATTGGGTATTAACATGATCACAGACTTATTTTGATACGTAACATTGGGTATTAACATGATCACAGATTTATTAGCACACCTGCCATGTCGTGGTGCGGCGTCCGTCGTCCGTCCGTCGTCCGTCCTTTTCGTCAACTTTTCCTTTAAACAACTTCTTCTGAAGAACGGATAGGCCTAGAGTCATTATATTTAGCTGAAAGCTTTGTTGGTAGGAGCCCAACAAAGTTTGAGAACGAAAATGACCTTGATCTACTTTAAAGGTCACAGATGTCAAATATGTCAAAAACTTCAAACAACTTCTTCTGAAGAACTAAAAGGTATAGAATCTTCATATTTGGCTGATGGCTTCCTGGGATGGAGCTTAACAAAGTTTGAGAATGAAAATGACTTTGACCTACTTTCAAGGTCACAGGGGTCAAATGTGTCAAACACTTCAAACAACTTCTTCTGAAGAACTGAAAGGTATAGAATCTTTATATTTGGCTGGTGGCTTCCTGGGATAGAGCCCAACAAAGTTTGCGAATGAAAATTAGTTTGACCTACTTTCAAGGTCACAGGGGTCAAATATGTCAAAAACTTCAAA